CATGTCTGTGCTTTGCTCCGGCATCAGAAAAGCTCCAAAAAAATGTATGATAATACTCATTAAAGTTATAAGCCCATTAATAATATTTAAAATACAAGTAAAGCCATTATTGACTTTAGTTCTCTTTTGGGCTGACCCAAAGTCAGCATCTAGAGGGCTACTGCCCGCTATATGCTGACAGTGCAGAGCAGCTTTGCAGCCGAGAACGATGCCCACCTCATTGCCTGATTAACAGCTAGCTATGCCTCTGTAGAGCCAAAGCCAGCTGTGCCCGCCCCCTCCCATCTGTCCCTCCAATGAGTGCTGGAAGAATGGAGAGGACAGAGGTGAAGCCTTGTGGGGAGTGGTGCCTGTTCTCTGCAGGGAGATGATCAGGAACTGAACAATCAGCGGTTTGTGATTGCTCAGTTCTCGAGCTATAGAGCTGGAGTATGACAGCGGCAGTGTCACATACCAGCTCAAACTATTTGGAAGAGTTCATTGTACACTCCCAGTAGTTCTTCTTTAAGAAGGTATAGATGTACTTCACAGTATTTTGGAAGGCTCTTTCTTTGCTTTGTCTTGTTTCATGTACAGCAAAGAGATGTGAATTGAGTGACAATCCGCATAAATGGAGGAGCAGTGGTACCCATTCCTGGAATTTTGAGACAGCTCTCTGTAAAAAAGGGTAACAAAGAAGTCCCTGAAAACGTTTATAGATTGGAAAATGAGGATGCCACATTGATTAGGTAGAAGGTATGGAGTATTGGATATCTGCTTTAACTACACTGAAACACCTAAAACCTGATAGTGATAAAGGGTTATATGATTTTAGGTTTGCCAATACCTGGAAAAAGTAATTTTAGGCAAAAAATTAGAGAAGATAAACAGCAGCTTTGCTTTCATCCAATGCGACACTGGCCAGCCCAGTATTTTTGAAGAGGAATCCCACTAAGATACTGTATTAAGATACTGTATATTACTGTTTAACGATGTTACAGCAAACAAGACAATTTCGGCTGGTCACCATGACATCGTTTGGGAAAAACCCGGCAATTCAGAGGGCAGAGCTCATAAACCAGAGACCAGGTAAGGGTGGGTAACATCATGTAGCATGTAGACACTGACACAGACTGCAGAATTAAGCCAGAACTGAAGCAAGACTTAAAAAGGTCAGAACAGTCAATGTTCACTATTCAGTAGGCAGGGGAAATAGACCAGATATCAAGCAAAAGGAAATGACAGCTTGGCAGACAAATGCACTGTATGTACAAGCAGACTTTGCCCACCCAAAAATTAGTCAGCACTGTGGTATCTCGTCTTCAGGAGAATTACATTGCCCTCTGCACTAAGGATTTAATACTCTAAGCCATTGTAGAATAATATAGCAACCTTCTTTTGCTTGGTTTAGATGCCCTCTCCTGGTCATAGTTTACAGTGATATTAAAATCAAAAGGGTTTTATGTTATTTAAAATGCTGAATAAATAACTTAGAATGAATCTTGCTCCTTTTTGTTTAAACGTTTTAGTTTCTTGCAGAATCAGCTGGTCCCACGAACACTGGGCTCAATATCCTGGATTAAGGTGGCTCCTTTCCTCTGCAGGGTCCTATGGAACCACCCTTGTGTGTGCTAGTAAGCTGTCTGTCTCCACAAGCACAGCAAGGCAAGCCTCTTCCCTTCTCTTCCATTCGCCTTTCTTCTCCAAGCTGGTAGATGGACAGATGCTAAGGACTGCTCTGTCCCTTGTGATCTTGTACTAGACAGGGAGTTCAGGGAAGCAGAGCTGAGAAAGCTGGAGCCAGCTGTGCAAACATGATGACTAAGTGCTTGTGCAAAAATGTAAATAATTATTTTTCTGGGCAATGTATATTGGTTTGATCTGAATTCATCATTGAAAAAAAGTTGACAGGGGTGCCCAATTCCGATCACCCGACGCAGACCACATGCAGTTCTGGGCACCAAGCAGGTAGTTTTTGCCTACAATTAGCTCTGCTGCAGACAAGCAGGGCTAACTTTAGAGCAGGGGAGCTGCTGCTCGTTTTATACATACTGTACAGCCGCCCAAATCGCTTGTAGCAGCCTGCTTGTTCCGCGCCACACTGCCCCACTTCCCCCAACGTGTTTTTCTGGGTCCCCCGCTCTTCTGGGGGACATGGGAATGTCCATTCTTCGGTCTGCTCTGTGGCATCAGTGAGACAGGAGTGCTGTACTCAAAGTGCTTCCTGTCTCAGCTGTCATAAGCTGGGCTACACAGTAGCTGTGCTCGATCCTATGTATTGCAGTCTAATGGGGGACTTCTAGTCTAATTATGGAGACATCTGGCGTCTAATAGACGCCAGATGTCTCCATAAAGAGAACCTCTCACCTCCAAACGCTATCACATGTGTAATAGCAATAACGTTAAATGAAAAACAAAATAAAATAAAAAAAGTAAGAAAAAAGTATAAAGTAAGAAAGTACACATAATGACGACACATGCACTTGACTGCCAGGGGCCATCTTGGTGATGGATGCTTGCAAAGAGTTCAGTTCATCTGGTGGGATAATGTTTGTCTTTTGGTCCCCTCCTCTCTCGTGCAGCTGTCAGCTTCTCGGTCCATGACCAAGTGCTTGACTTTTCAGAGGGGGGTGACCCCAAAATGTCAGTCATTTTGGGGGTCACCGCCTCTGATGGTGTCACCCGGTGCACCAACTTGTTACGCCACTACGTAGGGCGTTGTGTGTGTGCACCACCATTCCACTCTGTACTATTATGTGGTAGCGGGGCAGCAGCACTCTCTAACACGCACAATGTGCATTAAAGTTCCCTTTCCCAAGTAGTTTGGGAAAATTGAATTACCCGCTCAAATCTGCTCAAAGGTAAGTATAACAGGGGGTTCTATACTAACCTTTCGGCGAACGGTCCCTTCCCTCTCCCGATGCGGGTGTACCATCTATACTGCCATCCAGCGCAGCCCTGCACTATGGATTTTGAATTTCCCTCACAAATTGCGAGCACTCATTGTTCAGCGTGGTCACCTGACCACACTGATCAATGAGAAGCGCTTCTTAGCACGTTTGAATACGGTTTTGGTTAAAATTACTTTTTGTATCAGGACAAGTAGATCATCAATTTCAACTTTTCCCTCACTTTCAGTCCAGGGTGACAATGGTCACCAGGACAAATAAAGAGGGTGGTGTCCCAAGCAGGGACACCATATGCAATAACTGATGGAGATTCTAACCCTTCCCTATTCCATCTAGATAAAAAAAAACATGACTTTAGTTATGCTTTAATGCCAGCCCGAACCTACTGTGGTCTATTGAATACGGTTTGGGTTAAAATTACTTTTTGTATCAGGACAAGTAGATCATCATGAGGGACAAGTAGATTGGGCCCCCACTTTAGTCCTTGGACAAGTAGTGTTTTTTTAAATTTCCACACCCGGAGATTAATACTACTTTACTTTCCCTTGCCTCAGCAGGTACAGTTAGAATGCGTACGAGTTTTTGATCAAACAGTTGCAAACTAAAACAAGTAAAACTCTGGATGCATGGACCCCATCATTACAATGAATATTTAATATGCAACGCATTGAAATAGAAACGGAGACATGAAACCTAAGAACAACAGCTCAGCTGAGATGCAATTGGATCTGGAAATTCTACACCAACAGCCAACTCTACTCTCACAGATGTCTTAACATAACCACAGTATATGTTTTTTCCATTCTATAAACTATAAGACATCTCAGTTTATTACCATTCGTTGTCATGAATCCACGGATACTATTTAAAGTAGACCTTGGACCTAGAATGCTGGGTCCCCTTTTTAAGTGGGCCCTCCCTCGCTAAAACACAACATAAACATGAAAAAAAAGAAACGCCTGCAGGGGCGAAGTTCAAAACTATACTTAAGAGAACTATGGGGTAAGTGTTTTTTCCCATAGTTCTCCTAAGGGTCACGGGAGGATATAGACTAGCATCCTCCCGTAACCCAAAGCTCAGTATATCGCGGGCTATTGCTATTTCTGTAGGAAATATAAATACATGTGTATGCTGCATTTCAGCAAGGGGGGTGGGGCATACGTAAAAAGCGGACCTTGCAAGAGTGCAAGGACCGCTTTAAATAAAAAAAATATATATATTTTAAGGCATTCTTGGTATTCTGAGCCATAGTAGAATAATATAACAACCATTTTGTGTTTTAGAGTAGCAAGTTCAGGTCAGTGTCTTAAGCTGGCCATACACCTTACAATTATCTGCAGATTTTCTGTGCTCAGATGGAAAAGGTGCAACAGATTCCTCCATCTACACCTGTGTAGATGGAGTGATCTCCACCTGGGCCAATCTGTTGCACTTTTTCCATCTGACCACAGACAATCTGCAGATAATTGTAAGGTGTATGGGCACCTTAATGATGCCGTGATCTGAACTACTCTCATGATCAGCTGTGGCCAAACACGTCTAACAAGCAAAAAAACATGTGATGGAGTTTTAAGCTGGCCCTACACCTATAGATTTTCTGCAGATTTTCTATAGTCAGATGGAAAAAAGTGCAACAGATACCACCATCTACACTAAATTGAATAGATGGAGGAATCTCCCCACTGGGCCAAGCTTCAGTATCTTGCTAGCCGGCCCCGATTGCTCTCAAAATACCTGAACAATGCCTGCATCCAATCAGATTGTTCAGATATTTTGACAGCCAGTCGGGCCGACTACTAAGATACTGAAGCTTGGCCCAGTGGGGAGATTCCTCCATCTATTCAATTTAGTGTAGATGGTGGTATCTGTTGCACTTTTTCCATCTGACCATGGAAAATCTGCAGAGAATCTATAGGCGTTTGGCCAGCTTTAGGAATCATATTCAGCTGAGTTACATACAAAATAAAAAAAATAAATCAAAAGGTTTACTTTATTTCTTCAGTAATGTAATAGAAGGCAAAAATTATTTTGCAGTGCGTCAGGGGACAGATTATGGAAAAACTCTTACTGAGATACAAACTAATACAAACATTTCAGATAGAATGTGCTTACCATCCAATAGACAGTCAAAATGAAGGCACTGCAAGTACTCCCGCTCTCTCATAAAACCATTAAGTGGTGTTGCCCAACCTTCTGCCAAAACCTGCACCCACTGCATGTCCACCTGAACAAAAGAGAAAAATAAACTGATTAAGAAGCAGAAATGGAAGGTACTTAGACAATTTTGTTTGGGTAACTATCATAAAAAAAAGCAAAAATACTGATATTTTGATGTTCTCATGAGAACAGTTCCAACAGCTATACTGAGATAGCTGAGTGAGAAATTGAAAATT